TAAAATTTCTCAGATGAAGTAACTATATTCAAACAGATCAGCATGGCACAGAGGATAACAGTATGTGTTCTGGAACAAGACTGCTTTGCTTCAAATCTCAACTCTGCCACTTGCCAGCTAGGAGACACTGGACGTGTTATCTAATCTATCCATGCCTCAGTTTCCTCATCTGTAAAACAGAGAAACTACTACTCTCTTCCTCTTAGGGTTGCTGTGAGGTTTCAAGAATACTTATTATGTATAGAACTATTTGGTGACAACCATGCCAAAAGAGGGCTTGCCATATCTCTTAGAAACATATGAAATCTGGTCTTCTCACCATCTGTGTGACATACACTAGAGTAAAGCATTTTAAAAACTAATAAACACTAAATAAATAAAATGAAGAAAACTTTAAAAATTATTAAAATTGAAGAGCACAGCAAGATTTTCTGTAGGTAAAGACAAGCTTATTCCAAAATTTATATGGAAAGTCAAAGGAGCTAGAATAGCTAAAACGATTTGGAAACGGAAGAATAATCTGGGAGGAATTAGTCTATCTGATGTTAAGATTTACTGTAGTGCTACAGACTCACTGTAAAGCTATAGTAATCAAAACAGTATGGAGTAGTAAAGATACACAAGTCAATGGAACAGGCCAGAAATTGATTTTTGACAAAGGAGCAAAAGTGATTCAATGAAAAATAGTTTTTTCAATGAAGAGCCCTGTAGAAACTGGACACCCATAGGCAAAAGAAAACAAAAAGAACCTAACCTAAACTTCACATCCCTTTTTTTTTCTTTGAGATGGAGTTCACTCTTGTTGCCCAAGCTGGTGCAGTGATGAAATCTCGGCTCACTGCAACCTCCACCTACTGGGTTCAAGCAATTCCCCTGCCTTACCCTCCCAAGTCGCTGGGATTACAGGCTCCTGCCACCACATCTGGCTAATCTTTTGTATTTTTAGTAGAGATGGGGTTTCACCATGTTGGCCAGGCTGGTCTCAAACTCCTGATCTCAGGTGATCCACCCGCCTGAGCCTCCCAAAGTGCTGGGATTACAGGTGTGAGCCACTGTGCCCGGCCTAAACTTCACATCTTACACAAAAATTTCAAAATGGATTGTGAATGTAAATGTAGCACGTGAAAAAAGTTAATCACTATATGATTCCATTTAAATGATTTCCTTTTTTAAAATTTTTAATTTGATTTTACTTAATTTGGCCGGGACAGTGGCTCATGCCTATAATCCCAGCACTTTGGGAGTCTGAGGTGGGCAGATCACTGGAGCTGAGTTCAAGACTAGCCTGGTCAACACTGGGTCAACCCAGTATCTACAAAAAATACAAAAATTAGCCAGGCAGGATGGTATGCACCTGTATTTCCAGCTACTCGGGAGGCTGGGGCAGATCACTATATTAATACCAGGAAGTCGAGGCTGCAGTGAGGCAAGATGACATGACCACACTCCAGCCTGGGCCACAGTGGGACTGTCTCAACAACAACAAAAAATTATTTTTAGTTATTTATTTATTTAGTTTTGGAGACAGAGTCTTGCTTTGTTGCCCAGGCTAGAATGCAATGGTGCAATCTCGACTCACTGTACCTTCTGCCTCCCAGGTTCAAGTGATTCTCATGCCTCAGCCTTCTAAATAGCTAGGATTACAGGGGCATGCCACCATGTCCTCCTAATTTTTTGTATTTTTAGTTGAGATAGGTTTTTGTCACGTTAACTAGGCTGGTCTCAAACTCCTGACCTCAGGCAATCTACCTGCCTCAGCCTCTAAAAGTGCTAAGATTACAGGCGTAAGCTACCATGCCCGGCCCTGATTTTTTTTAAACTTAATTTTATTTTTTTGTAGAGATGGGGTCTCCTTATGTTGCTCAGGCTGGTCTTGATAAACATTATTCCCTTTTAAATTATGATCATTATTATTATGACAGGAGAATTATTCAGTCACACACTGCCTGGCAGAGTAAGAAATCAATAAATCTTGGGTGAATGAATCAGTCAGTGATAGGTACAGGGAAAAGATGGAAGAGTGATATATTATCGTTTCTTTTTTTTTTCCTTCGGAGACAGGATCTTGCCCTGTTGCCCAGGCTGGAGTGCAGTGGCTCCATCTCAGCCCATTGCAACCTCAACCTACCTGGGTTCAGGTGATCCTCCCACCTTAGCCTCTTGAGTAGCTGGGACCACAGGTGCACACCACCATGCCTGACTAATGTTTGTATTTTTTGTAGAGACGGGGTTTTGCCATGTTGCCCAGGCTGGTGTAGAGTGATGCCGAGCTTGGGCAACCTGGGCTCAAGCAATTTTCTTGCCAGGGCCTCCCAAAGTGCTGGGATTACAGGTGTGAGCCACCCCACCCAATTGAACTTCTGTTCTAATGAGGAAAACAGACTTAAGGCATTATGGCCTTGAGTTGAGGCTTTAAGGATAAGTAGATGGAAGAAGGATGAAGAATATACTGGGAAACAAGAATATAAAGATTAATTGAGGCTGGGCATGGTGGTTCATGCCTATAATCCCAGCACTTTGGGAGGCCAAGGCAGGAGGATTACCTGAGCCCAGGAGTTCAAGACCACCCTGGGCAACGCAGTGAGACCCTGTCTCAAAAAAGAAAAAAAAAGTAATAAAAGAAAATTAGTTAAGGAGGCTTCTGAATACATGTAAAGAGTATGGTCCCAGCTGAGTATGGTGGCTTATGCCTGTAATCCTAGCACTTTGGGAAGCCCAGGTGAGCCCAGGAGCCTGGGCAACATAGTGACACTATATATACATACACACATACACTATACACACACACACATACATACAAAAAAAGAGACCTCTCTCTCTCTCTACACACACACACACACACACACACACACACACACACATATATATAAGATAAATATGTGAGTGTATTTCCTGGGATACGTTCCTCCTCTTGTAATACAAATGTCACACAGTGTGTATCTGTTCCACCTGTTTGAACCATTTCCAGGGCTGTCTTCCTCTCATCTTCAGCCATTGAGGCCTTCAAACCAGATGTTTTCTTCTCATATACAGACTCATATATATACATATATATATATATATATATATATATAGAGAGAGAGAGAGAGAGAGAGAGAGAGAGAGAGAGAGGTCCTTTTTTCTGTAAGTGTTGGAGTATCATTAAGGAGTATGTTATGTAAGAGGCCAGGCATGATGGCTCATGCCTGTAGTCCTAGCACTTTGGGAAGCCCAGGCAAGAGGACTGCCTGAGCCCCTGAGTTCAAGACCAGCCTGGGCAACATAGCAGGATGCTGGCTCTACAAAAAATTTAAAACTTAGCAGAGGCCAGTGGCCCACATTTGTAGTTCCAGCTACTCTGGAGGCTGAAGTGGAACAATCTCTTGAGCCTAGGAGTTACAGGCTGCAGTGAGCCATGATCATGCCACGGCACTACAGCCTGGGCAACCGAGCAAGACCCTCTCTCTAAAAACAAAAAAAAAGCTTGTGAGAGATGACTCCAGTGGCAGTGTGAAGGCTGGATGACAATAGAAAGGGTGGCAGGCCAAGTGAAAATATATAGCTCCTAAAAAAAAAAAGAAAATAGATAACTCCTATGAGGAAACTGTAGTTTAATTCTGAGTTGATAAGGGTGTATTTATACTAACACATCAGCAGTAACATGGCTATGACTAGCCTTTCTCTAATCTAGAGGAACTTTCTAGAGGAAGGAAATCCCAATCTCTTACAAGAAGGAAATAAAGAAGATGAAAAAGGGTGAATTCTCAATTTTGACTTATATATATTTTCTAGACTTCCAAGAATGGGTAGAAATATAGACATTGCTAGGCTCCTTTCTTTGGAGATAGTTTTTTGTTGTTGTTGTTGTTGTTGTTGTTTTGGTTTTTTTGAACAGAGTCTCGCTCTGTTGCCCAGGCCTGAGTGCGGTGGCACGATCTCAACTCAGCTCACTGCAACCTCCACCTCCCAGCTTCAAGCGATTCTCCTCCCTCAGCCTCCTGAGTAGCTGGGATTACAGGTGCACAACACCATGCCAGGCTAATTTTTGTGTCTTTAGTACAGATGGGGTTTCACCATGTTTGTCAGGTTGGTATCAAACTCTTCACCTCCTGATCTGTCTGCCTCAGCCTCCCAAAGTGCTGAAATTACAGGCGTGAGCCACCAAGCCCAGCCTTTTTTTTTTTTTTAGTTTAAATAAAAGAGGAAATTTATCAGAAGAATAAATGAGTCAAAAGCTAGAACCACACCTTTTTCCTTTTTGAAGGACAGAGAATACTGTAATCACAAACTTCTTTTTTTTTTTTTTTTTGAGATGGAGTCTTGCTCTGTTGCCCAGACTGGAGTGCAGTGGCGTGATCATGGCTCACTGCAAACTTTGCCTGCCGGATTCAAGCGATTCTCCTGCCTCAGCCTCTCGAGTAGCTGGGACTACAGGCACGCACCACCATGCCCGGCTAATTTTTTGTATTTTTAGTAGAGACAGGGTTTCACCATGCTGGCCAGGCTGGTCTGGAACTCTTGACCTTGTGATCCACCTGCCTTGGCTTCCCAAAGTGCTGGGATTACACGATGGCTGAGTCACCATGCCCGGCAACTTCTCTTTTTTTTTTTCAGACAGAGTCTAGCTCTGTTGCCCAGGCTAGAGTGCAGTGGTGTGATCTCAGCTTACTGCAACTTCCACCTCCCGGGTTCAAACGACTCTCCTGCCTCAGTCTCCCTAGTAGCTGTGATTACAGGCATGCACCACCACACCAGGCTAATTTTTGCACTTTTAGTAGAGATGGGGTTTTACCATGTTGGCCACGCTGGTCTCAAACTCCTGAACTCAGGTGACCTGCCCGCCTCAATCTCCCAAAGTGCTGGGATTATAGACCTGAGTCAGCACGCCTGGCCACAAACTTCTAACTCTGGGTTCTGCACGATCAGGAAGAGAATACCCTAGAGGGCAGCTCTCCTTGTATACTGCTTAGGGGACTAGAATGTGGATTCATTTCTGCTAGCTCTTTGATTCTTATAGTCCTTTATGTGGCCTCAAACTTGTCAAGCACAGGTTGGCAGACATTCCTGAGCTCCTTCAGGCCTCTCTGAATTGGCTCAACTGGAAGAGCACCTCGAGTCTGAATGCATAAATTAATTTTACTCTCTGAAGGATGGTTTGAGTGTAACCACAAAATTCCACTTTTTTTGGGGGGGTTCTTCATGATGACATGATGCAGCAAATGTCCTAGGGTATGTTCCTCCTCTTGCAATACAAATGTCACACCGTGTCTATCTGTTCCAGCTGCCTGGGCCATTTCCAGGGCTGTCTTCTTCTCGTCTTCTGCCATTGAGGTCTTCAATCCAGACATCTTTCTCTCCAGTTCCTGGTCCTCTTCCATCTCAGGGGTGGTTTTCAGATCCTCAGGTGGTGCTGGTGGATGGGTGGGGTGCTCTGCCCCATATCCAGTTGCTTGTGGGAGAAGCAGGAAGAAAGGAACCACCAATGTAGAGATAGTTCTCAACTTCCCCAGACAAATGGTTGTCTTGCAGAGGAACAAAAAAAGATTTAAAGTATTATGTCTAAAAACCAGTGATTTTTATAAGGATTAACTCAAAGAAACTCCGCCACAAACTCTCCTAAGGTCCAGTTAAGGATGTTAGTAATTTGGGGTTTTTTATTTCTCTTCATTTCTCCACCTGGCCTATTTCCTGTTGGAAGGTACTTTGGTTGCCATGAAAACAAACAAATACAACTCGTTTCCTCTAGTTGGACGGCTGGATTCCACCGTTAATGGAACCTCTCTGGTTCCTCTCCCGTGGCCACTCCCTACTACACGTCAGTGAACCTTTGCCTCTTTCCACTAAGCCGTCTACTCCCCCATCTTTCTCTCCCAGACTCCCTCTCTTGGTGTGACTGCTCTATTGAATGTGTGGATAGCTATGGGTGTTTGCCTCCCAACTTACACATTCTGTGTGCAAACTGATCTCCCAACAGTGGGGCTGACTCCTGCAAAGACACATTTTTTTTTTTAGGACTGAATGAATTCAACAAGTATTTATAGAGTGCCTATTATGTGCTAGATATTGTTCCAGGTACTTGAGACACATCAGAGAACAAAACCAAGAGCCCTGCCCTCATGCGGCTTCCAGTCTAGCATTTATTGCCAGTTCACCTGCAGGCTACCTGGGGCCTGAGGCAAGTCACTGCACCTCTGTGTTTGGGTCCTCAGCTGTCCAATGGGAGAATAAGCAGACCTGGCTCAGACGTGGATAACTGTCTGATGTACTGTGGATGCCAAACTGGATATCCTCAACCCACCATCCAGACAGTAGATAGGGCTGGAAGTTGATTTTTAATGATACAGTACAGTGGAGGGAGGGCAGAGGGGCTAAGCCAAGCTGTCTGGGGTGCTGCGGTGGTGGGGGGCTGGCTACACAAACTGCTGCTGCTGCTTCTTGGTGGCCGCCTTGCTGGTGAGGCCCTTGGCCTTCTCTGTAGCTGCCAGTGCCGTCTCCTTTGCCTTCTCCTTGGCTTCCTTGGCTGTCTCAACAAGTGTTTTGGAAGGGGCCTCACCTTGCAGCTTTGCCAAGATATATTGGAAACCCTTCATAGTCTTGGTCACGTTGCTTTTGAACCCGGCAAGACCAAATTCCTGGACAGGTCTGGAGACACGAAATAAGCCAGAGGAGCTCCAGGCTTCACGGCGGATTTCGGTCCAGCCACTGTTGTCAGAGTTCACACAGTAAACACATGGTTCGTCCACCTCCATCAGCCGGGCGCGGTTGATGTTCCGGGTGAAGGTGGTCATGGTCTGATTCTGTGGGTCCACAGTAGAGTCCTCCAGGGTGTACACCGAGTGAGCAACATTGGCAGGAAACAGTCGCTCGGCCCAGCAGGGCATCCTGTTGGTCTTGGTCAGGAGTCGCCGGGACAGCAGTTTCTGGTCAGGGGTCACCTCCCGGTGTACTATGTCTATGGGATTCGGGTACCGCCTCCAGAAGGCGGCGAACACTTGTTCCCAGGAACTCCGGAGCACGCTCTGGCCCAGGAAATACTTCACCACCGTCCCGGCCGGAGGGGCTCAGCACCCACGCAGCATCAGCATCAGGCGTGCGGAGCCTGGGAGGCACGCGGGGGCCGGGCTGGGGCTCGGCGCACACCCGCCGCCAGGCTCGTAGCTCAGTCACCACCGCACCGCGCCCAAGCAGCTGCCGCCGCCGCCATGAGTTAGTTGTCCCGCTGCGCAAAGACACATTCTTTATGGGGCTATATTGGTTGGTCACTGGAATTAGGAATACTTACCATTTTGTTCCCTATTAAACAGCTATACAAGGGAATAGTAATCGATTTTTATGAGTAGGAATCTATTTTCTTTTTTTAAACAGACAGGGTCTTGCTATGTTGCCCAGGCTGGAGTGCAGTGGCTATTCACAGGCGGGATCCCATTACTGATCAGCACGGGAGTTTTGACCTGCTCCGTTTCCGACCTGGGCCGGTTCACCCCTCCTTAGGCAACCTGGTGGTCCCTCGCTCCCGGGAGGTCACCATACTTTTGCCGAACTTAGTGCGGACACCCGATCCGCATAGCGCACTACAGCCCAGAACGCCTGGGCTCAAGGGATCCTCTAACCTCAGCCTCCCAATTAGCTGGGACAACAGGCACGCGCCACCGCACCCGGCATGAGTAGAAATCTAAACAGCACAGAGAATCAAGGAAGTTGTGAGATATGTGTAAGTTGGTACAAAAGGGTGGTCCAAAACCATGAGTTACCTAGGCAAAATTAAGAGTCCGGTTACTGGCTGGATGTGGTGATTCAAGCCTACTCAAAATGCCCCAGCACTTTGAGAGACTGAGGCAGGTGGATTGCTTGTGTCCAGAAGTTTGAAATCAGTCTAGGCAACATGACAAAACCCTGTCTCTACAAAAAATACAAAAATTAGCCAGGCATGGTGGTGTGCACCTGCAGTCCCAGCTACCCTGGAGGCTGAGGTGGGAGGATCACCGAGCCCAGGGAGGTCAAGGTTGCAATGAGCCGAGATGGTGCCACTACACTCCAGCCTGGGCAACAGAGCAAGATCCTGTCTCAGGGGAAAAAAAAAAATCAGGTTACCGTACAGCCCCAATACAAAGAAAATCGTTTTAGGCAAGTAATCAAAGTCTGGGAAGTTCATAAATGAACTATGAATTAAGTATTCTCTCCCTTGCCTTCTCCTTATCCCTTCTCTTTTCTTCTCCCTCATAACTTGGGGAAGGGTGTGATCGCACATAGCATAAAGTGCGATTACATTGCTAATGGCATGAGAAGCAGATCAGCTGGGGAGGAGATTAGACTCTCTGAGGAAAAGCTCCGGAAATGTCCTGAAGTAACAGGTGGATCTAATGTCAGAACTGTAAAATGGAAAAGGGATGAAATGTGTCATTTGCTGGGATAAACGCTGTCAGTGTGACAATCCACATGTTACACACCTACTTGTGCTTTTTGCTGCTGGGAGCACTTTCCCCCAACACACACCCTACTAATGAGGAAACTGCGAAAGAGAACCCAAGAGACTAAACTGCAGGTCTGCAGTGAGGGATATGTTTACATCCTACACGTGAGTAGAGTAAGTATATTTTTAGGCTAGCAAGCTCTGGTCAAGCAAGCTTAACATGAAAACATGAGAACTGCCCTACTTTAAGGGACCCACCCAATTCAATATTCTGTTTTGGAGGGTGGAACTGAAAGCATAATCAGCATATAGAGCTGGATGTGTAAATGACCAATTTAGTCTTCACTGTTTGCTGTGCTGTAATAAACCTATATCATCTTCTGTGTGAGATTAACTCTCCGCTAGGACAGGGTCCCTGTTAAATCATCAGTTACCTGGCAACTTTGGAAAAAGTCATTCTGGATAGACAAATTAAACATACAGACAAGGATGACTTCTCCAGACATGAATTTTTAAATGTATATTAAACTTTTCAGGCTCACATCTGTAATCCCAGCACGTTAGGAGGCTGAGGTTGGAGGATCACTCAGGAGTTTGAGATCAGTCTGGGCAACATAGCAAGATCCAGTCTTCAAACAAAAATCAAAAATTAGCTGGGTGTTGTGGCACATGCCTGTATTCTGAGCTACTCAGGAGGCTAAGGTGGGAGGATCACTTGAGCCTAGGTAGGTTGAGGCTGCAATGAGCAGTGACTGGAGCCATTACACTCCAGCCTGGGTGACAGAGCGTGACCCTGTCTCAAAACAAACAAACAAACAAACAAAACAAAGAAAAACCCAAACCAAAGCAGAAAACAAAAAACAAAAAACCCAAACCTAAATAGATCATGGTGATAACAATGTTATATGATAAAGTTTGTAGAAAAAAAATTAGCTGGGCATGGTGGCGCGTGCCTGTAATCCCAGCTACTCAGGAGGCTGAGGCAGGAGAATTGCCTGAACCCAGGAGATGGAGGTTGCCGAGATAACGCCATTGCACTCCAAAGTGGGTAACAAGAGTGAAACTTCGTCTCAAAAATAAATAAATAAAATAAAGTTTGTAGAACCATTTTTCTGTACACCAAATGTCCCAGAATGTTGCACTTCTACACGGAGTTTGTAGTTTTTCCTGTCAATCTCCCTGTTACCCACTTCTAGTTCTCTTTGCTGTAAGGGGAGAGTTTACTTAGCACAGACTCTTTCCTTCTAATATAGTATCTAATCTGCTATGCACAGTTGATAATTGTTACATTTGCATCACACTTTACCAATTACAAAGTGCTTATCGAACTTTCGCAGGTGACATCATTGCCTGTGGATCCTAGTCCTACGGCTGGGGACTTGACCCTGGCCTGGCCAATCAGGATATTCCATCTTCTTTACCAATGATTGGGTCTGGGATGGATACATGACCCAAGCTGGGCCTGTTAGAATCTGCCTTGGGAGTTTTGTCAGAGTGATCAGGAAAGTGGTTATCTTGAAATTCTCCTGACGGTTTTGTTTTTGTTTCTGTGTGTTTTGAGACGAGGTCTTGCTCTATTGCCGAGGCTGGAGCGCTGCAGTGGCATGATCACAGCTCACTGCAGCCTCAACCTCCTGGGCTCAAGGGATCCTCCCACCTCAGCCTCCCTACAGGCACAAGCCACCACATCTGGCTAATTTTTTAAATTTTTTGGCAGAGATGGGGTCTCACCATTTTGCCCAGACTGGTCTGGAACCCCTGAGCTCAAGCGATCCCCCTGCCTCAGCCTCCAAAAGTGTTGGACTTACAGGTGTGAGCCACTGCACCTTGTCCTGATGTTACCTTATGCATCAAAAAACAGGTAAACCTGAGCTGCCAGAGTCCCTCTTGCTGCCACACAAAGAGCCTAAATACAGGGAAACAGCTGAAAGAGAGACCAACTTGACAACAGCATTTGAAAAGCTGAATCCTGGACTTCTTAGTTTGCACAAAGTCCTTCACCCACCCTACCCCACATATCAACATTTTGTGTATATATATTTGTTGTTGTTGTTGTTGTTTTTGTTTAATACACTTTTATTTTTTTTGAGACAGAGTCTCAGTCTTACTCTGTCACCCAGGCTGGAGTGCAGTGGTGCCATCTTGACTCACTGTAACCTCCACTCCCAGATTCAAACCATTTCTCATGCCTCAGCCCCCTAGGTAGCTGGGATCACAGGTGTGCACCACCACATCCAGCTATTTTTGTATTTTTCATAGAGACGGGGTTCCACCATTATATTACTCCGTTCTCACAGTGGTATGAAGAAATACCCTTTATAAAGGAAAGAGGCTTAATTGACTCACAGGTCCTCATTGCTTGGGAGACCTCAGGAAACTTACAATCATGGTAGAAGGCAAAGGAGAAGCAGGCACCTCCTTCACAGGGCAGAAGGATGGAGGGAGTGCAAGCAGGGGAAATGCCAGATGCTTATAAAACCATCAGATCTCAGGCCTGTAATCCAAGCACTTTGGAGGTCAAGGTGGGTGGATCACCTGAGGTCGGGAGTTCAAGACCAGCCTGACCAACATGGTGAAACCCTGTCTTCAAAAAAACAAATAAATAAAAACAGATCTCATGAGACTCACTATCACGAGAACAGCATGGGGAACCTGCCCCATGATCTAATTACCTCCACCTGGTCCTGCCTTTGACACTGGGGATTACAATTCAAGATGCGATTCTGGGTGGGGACACAGACAAACTGTGTCAGCCATGTTGGCCAGGCTAGTCTCAAACTCCTGGCCCCAAGTGATCCACCTGCCTTGACCTCCCAAAGTGCTGGGATTATAGGCGTGAGCCATTGCACCAGGCCAATATTTTTGTTTTGCTTAAACTAGTTTGAATTAGGTTTTGGTCATTTGCTACCACTCCTGATGTGGAGGTGTCTTCTGACCTTTCCTCATCACCTTCCGGAGATCCCTTTAGCTTCTTCTCCCATTGCATCGCCTCATCCCGTATCTTCCTCTTTCTTAGCTTACTACCTCACTTTGGTGACACATATCCCTCAGTAGCTTCCTGAATAAAACAGATGAGAAATAAATTTTTGGAGACCTTGCATGTTTGAATGTGTGTTTGCCTTCATACTTCAAATAAATATTTGGCTCTAATTGGGATTCTAGGTTGTACAGAATTTTCCCTCTGAATTTTCAAGGCACCCCTTCATTGCCTTATGGTGTCAGTGTGGCTGCTAATGAGTCTAAAGTCACTCTGATTCCTAAGCTTTTCTATGTGGCCTGTTTTTGTTTAATTTAGCTTTTCCCTTTCTGGGAGAAGCCCTCTTCTCTTTGGGCTTGATTTTCTGATATTCGTTGATGATGTGCCTTGTTATGGGTCTGTTTTTCATTCACTGTGCTGGCACTAGATGGGGCATTTCAATCTAGCAACACGTATCCTTCGATATGGGGAACATTCTTTATTACTTGTTTGGTGATTTCCTCCCTTCTGATTTCTATGTTCTTTTTCTTTTGAGCACCCATTAATTAGATGCTAGATCTCCTGGCTTAATCTAATTCCATGGAGCTTGTATTTTGTGTTTTCTTCCTCTATTTTCTTCTTGTTTGTTTGCTTTTGAGACAGGGTCTCAGCTCTGTTGCCCAGGCTGGAGTGCTGTGGTACAATCTGAGCTCACTGTAGCCTGGACCTCCTGGGCTCAAACGATGCTTCCTACCTCAGCTCCCTACTAGTTGGGACTATAGATGGGTGCCACCATGCCTGGCTAATTTTTAAATTTTTTTGTAGAGACGGGGACTCACTGTGTTGCCAAGGCTGGTCTTGAACTCCTGGAATCGAGTGATCCTCCCACCTTAGCCTCTCAAAGTGCCAGAATTACAGGTATGAGTTACCACACCTGGCCATCCTCCTCTGTTTTCTATATTTGTCTTTTATCTCTAAGATTTCCTCAATTTTATCTTGCAGATTTTCTGTTGAACATTTAAACAAATTTTCTACCATGTTTTTCATTTCCAAGACCCCTTTCTTGTTTATGAATGTATCCCTTTATGTGTACTGTTTTTGTTCCATTCATTCACTGGCTTCTCTTATTTCTCAAAGGAATTACTGACATATTTGAAACTTTTATTTTTCATTTTATGTTGAAAGTATTTTAAATCTGCAAAAATTTTCAAGACAAAACTTTTTTTTCTGAACCATTCAATATTAAATTTCCAACACGATGCCCATCCTACCTAACATGAGTACACACTCAAACCAGGAAATGACAGCCACCTAATCTACAGACCAGATCCAATTTCTCTAATTATCTCACTACTATCACCTGGGCTGGAGTACAATGTTGCGTCATCTCAGCTCACTGCAACTTCCACCTTCTGGGTTCAAGCGATTCTCTTGCCTCAGCCTCCTGAATAGTTGAGATTACAGGAGCCCGCCACCATGCCTGGCTAATTTTTTTGTATTTTTACTAGAGACGGATTTCACCATGTTGGCCAAGCTGGTCTCAAACTCCTGACCTCGTGATCTGCACTCCTCAGCCTCCCAAAGTGCTGGGATTACAGACATGAGCCACTGCGGCTGGCCTGCCTTCCTTCCTGCCTTCCCTCCTTCCTTCCTTCTTTCCTTCCTCCTACCCCTCAGTTTTTTTCTGGAGATGGAGTCTTGCTCCATGGTCCAGGCTGGAATACAATGGCACAATCTCGGCTCACTACAACCTCCACCACCTGTGTTCAAGAGATACTCCTGCCTCAGCCTCTTAAGTAGTTGTGACAACAGGTGCCCACCACCATGCCCAGCTAATTTTTGTATTTTTTTTTTTTTGAGATGGAGTTTCACTCTTGTTACCCAGGCTGGAGTGCAATGGCGCCATCTCGGCTCACCACAACCTCCGCCTCCTGGGTTCAGGCAATTCTCCTGCCTCAGCCTCCTGAGTAGCTGGGATTACAGGCACGCGCCACCATGCCCAGCTAATTTTTTGTATTTTTAAGCAGAGACGGGGTTTCACCATGTTGACCAGGATGGTCTCAATCTTTTGACCTCGTGATCCACCCACCTCGGCCTCCCAAAGTGCTGGGATTACAGGCTTGAGCCACCGCGCCCGGCCTAATTTTTGTATTTTTAGTAGAGTTGGGGTTTCACCATGTTGGCCAGGTTGGTCTCAAACTCCTGACCTCAGGTGATCCGCCCACCTCAGTCTTCCAAAGTGCTGGGATTATAGGCCTAAGCCACCTTGCCCTGCTCATGGTTCTTTCAGTCTGGAACAATTTTTCAGCATTCCTTTTTTTGGCAGGAATAGGACAGAAGTGATACAGTGTTATTGCCTCCCATCTGGTGGTACCTGATTTCAATTTGTATCATTATTGAGAATGCTTTGTTCTCTTTTTTAAAAAATTGATGCAATCATTTATTTTGTTTGCATATTTGATTTGTTTTTGATCCAAACCTCACCAGAATGTTAACTTTGGTTAAGGTGGTGTCTGCTAAGTCTTTCCACTGTGAAGTTACTCTTTTGCTCTTTGTAATCAGTAAGTGTTTTGTGGAAAGGTACTTCTTTGAGGTATATATCCTATTTCTTATCATAGTTTTACTCACTATGTTTAGGGTTTCTTTTTTTTTTTTTTTTTGCTGAATGAATTGTTACTATAAAGATTGCCTAATAGTGATTTTTTCAATTTTTTCTAAATTTATTAGTTGTTATTCTGCTGTAAGAAAAATGTTCTCTTCTCATTTGTTTATTTATTCTTTTATTTATATCAGTATGAACATGTGGATTCCTGCTTCATTTGACAGATAATGACCCTTTACTGCCATTATTTATTTTGATGCTCAGAGTTGGTTATGGAAGCCCCCTTCAAGCCCCTTCGACATCCTATTGACATGTCTCTGTCATTGTTTAAGCACTTCTTTACTTTCTGCCACAGCAGAAAGGTGGTCTGAGTTCATCTTGTACTTTGCTTATCTCAGCCCTGAAATCAATCATTTCTCCAAGGATGACTGGTTTCTTTTAGTAGAGAATTATATTTAGATACCAGAATTTGGGACTAGGGGTGTTAAATGCTATTGGAGTATGACTGTTTCCAAACTCTCTTGGTGCACAGAGTTAAGGAATATGCATATATGTCTACATTTTTTTAACTTTTATTTTTGGTTTGGGTGTATATGTGAAGGTTTGTTATGTAGGTAAACGTGTCATGAGGGTCTGTTGTACATACTATTCCATCATTTAGGTGTTAAGCCCAGTACCTAATAGTTATCTTTTCTGCTCTTCTCCCTCCTCTCACCCTACACCCTCAAGTAGACCCCAGTGTCTGCTATTCCCTTCTTTGTGTTCATGAGTTCTTATCATTTAGCTCCCAGTTAAAAGTGAGAGCATGTGATATTCGGAGCTCTGTTTCTATCTTAGTTTTCTAAGGATGAGTCTCTCCAGTTCCATTCATGTTCCCACAAAAGACATGATCTCATTATTTTTTATGGCTGCATAGTATTCCACAGCACATATGTACCACATTTTCTTTATCCAATCCATCACGGATGGGCATTTAGTTTGATTCCGTGTCTTGGCTATTGTGAATAGTGCTGCAATGAACATTCATGTGCATATGTCTTTATAGCAGAATGATTTTTATTCTTCTGGGTGTATATCTGGATATGGGATTGCTGTGTCAAATGGTAGTTCTTCTTTTAGCTCTTTGAGGAATTGTGCTATTGCTTTTCACAATGGTTGAACTAATTTAAACTCCCATAGACAATATATAAGTGTTCACTTTTCTCTGCAACCATGCCAGCATTTGTTATTTTTTGACTTTTTAGTAATAGCCATTCTGACTGGTGTGAGATGATATCTCATTGTGGTTTTGATTTGCATGTCTCTAATGATCAGTGATATTGAGCTTTTTTTCATATGCTTGTTGGCCGCATGTATGTCTTCTTTTGAAGAAGTGTCTGTTCATGTCCTTTGCCTCCTTTTTAATGGGATTGTTTTTCTCTTGTAAATTTTTAAAGTTCCTAATTGATGCTGGAAATTAGACCGTTGTCAGATGCCTGGCTTGCAAAAATGTTCTCTGATTCTGTAGGCTGTTTACTCTGACAGACTTTTTTTTTTTTTTGATGTGCAGAAGACCTTAAGTTTAATTGGATCCCACTTGTCAATTATTGCTTTTGTGGCAATTGCTTTTGGTGTCTTTGTCATGAAATCTTTGCCTATTCCTACGTTCAGGATGGTATTGCCGATGTGGTCTTCCAGAGTTTTACAGTTTTGGGTTTTACATTTAAGTCTTTAATCCATCATGAGTTGATTTTTGTGTATGGTGTAAGGAAGAAGTCCAGCTTCAATCTTCTGTATATGGCTAGCCGGCTACCCCAGAGCCATTTATTTAAAAGGGAGTCCTTTCCCCATTGCTTTTTTTTTTTTTGGTCAGCTTTGTCAAAGATCAGATTGTCGTAGATGTACAGCCTTATTCCTGGACTCTCTTGTGTCATCATTTGTACATATGTACAAACGTACTATTTACACATATTTGTACATAGGTACACACATTATTTACATCTACATTTATTTCTCTACTCAATACTACAGTTTTTTTTCCCTTCCATATCTGTAAATTTTTTCTTGTTTCATGAAAAACCTGGCTCCCACTGTCCTTAATACACATATTTATTTGATCAACCCTCTTGTATATATCCAATCTCCTGTTTTTGCTGCTTCAAACTGGCCCTACAATGAGGACTGCCTCACCTCATTTGGCTCTAAAACCCCACTTGAAAACATTTGCCCCTCCCCTCCCCAGGCACTCTCCTCATTCTGCTTGAGCACCTATGACCTTTTCCGGGTCACTGTCACACACAGCCTCCTCTTCCCCTAAGGATGATGCCATCTTCACGCTACTTGGATTCCAACATACCATGTAGGCTGTAGGGATGACTCCTCCACTCTGCTCAGACTCTGACCTTCCAAGCTAGGTGGTTGCCACTTCCTACCCTGGACTCTCACACCA